AAGACCTAAGGCAGTCTTTGGGGGATTGGGATGGAATGTGGGGAGTGAGCATGCAGGATAGATTACCTGGCTCCTAAGGAGACATTAGAAGAGACAGTGCTTTTCTACCTCTGGGTGTTCTGTGTTCCGATGAGATGCCTCAGTTTTGGAGGTCTTCATGCTGCCAACATGACAATGAAGCCATCCAGGGGAAGAGACCAATGCCACAAGAACCAGAGAATCAAAATAAAACATGCCATGTCTATTACCTGATCCAAGTTTAGATTTTTGTTGTTGCTGTTGTGAGGAGATATATTTCATTAATTATCTGAGCAAACAGGTGTACAAGTTTTCTGCTCATTCCTGCTAGAAGCAACCCAGTTGACATGCCATTTACTTCTGGTTACTCATATTCTGGACCACTTAGAGAACATGGGACACTATTTTTAGGATAGTTTTCCGTGGAGGCAAACAAGTTAAGGGTGCCAAATCTTGGAAGCTCTTTAAAGATACAAAGCCACCTTACATGACATGGCACTCTCTCCAAAATCAGAGGCTTGCCTAGTGTTCTGTGTGAAGCTCTCAAATTCAAGATGTCTTTCTCAAAGTGGCCACATGAGATGGCAAGTTACAAAGTAATATTCAAATTCAAAGACTGAATAAAAGTGAAAAGGAAAAAAGACAGCACGATAAGCAAAGTACCAAACACAACTTTTGCTTTGAGAGAACTTCTTTTTTTAACTCTATAAAGTTAAATTTTAGTTTTCTAAACCAAATGGCATCACTAGGCACATGGATAGAGGACAAAGCCCCCAGTGCTCCAGTTCCACATGAAGCTAGCATTGCAAACAACTAAGCTGTCAAAGGGTGATTTAGAAACAAAACAAATCTGTAGGGCACTGCAAGGAGAGCTGCATTGGAAGTAAGCAGAGAAATAAACTCCATTTAGAATTTATAATAACAAACTAGCCCACAAGAGAATATGCAGCCAAGATTCATACTAACCAGGTGGTCTGCCCACCCCTCCCCCCCATAAGAACAACACCTGAAAATCTCTGGGCTGAAAATATCCAGTGGCACCTGGTACAAACAAATGGAAATTCTCTCTGGAAGAAGCTATCTCCAAAGAAGGCTCAAAGAATTCCCACATATAAAATATATATGAATTCATATTAAAAAAAAGTCCAAAGGAACACTAGAAAATAGTATGCAATGACTGAAAGCCAGAGAAATGACAGCAAAAGAGGTACAGATGTTGAAATTATCAGACAACATGTAAAACAAAGTTAATATGTTAAAAGAAAAACAAAAGGACTGATAGTTCTTGTTAAAAAGGAGCTATTAGGGATGACCAAACAAGAAAAAATAATAATAGAGAAATATTTGGAAATGAAATATGTAATAACTGCAGATAGAACAATAAATATTGGTGAACTGGAAGACAACACTGAAGAAATCACACAAAATTTAGTCTGAAGAACCAGATGCACAACTGAAAAGGCATTAGCAGTCTGAAGACTGTCTAATTGAGTTTTAAAAGATTAAAGAGAGAAAAAAAATTGCACAGAAGCCCTGTTTGAAAAGTTAATGGCTGAGAATTTTCTGGAACTGAAGACAGACATCAATACACAGACTTAGGAATCTCAATGAAACCCAGAAGGGATAAAAGCAATCTGTGCTTAAATACATCCAAGTGAAATTGCAGAATATCAAAGACAAATGGAAGATCATAAAAGCAGTCAGAGAAAAAAGGAATGACAATTAGATTGATGACTGACTTCAAAAGTGACATGGGATGCCAGAAATCAGTGGAATAAAATCTTCAATGTGTGGACAGAAAACAAGTGTCAAGCAAGAAGCCCTTACCCAGTAACAAAATCTTTTAACAACAAGACACATTCAAATAATTAAAAAGAATATACGGAACAGACTTCAGGAATTTCAGAAAGATGCATTTATATAAAGGAAAGGGATCCCAAATGGAAATCTGAAATAAAAGAAAGAATGATAAACAAAAAAAGTGGTAAAAATGTTGGTATATCTAAACCCCACATTGACTAAAACTACAACAATAGATGATAATGTGTTGTGAAATTAAAAGAATTAAAATATATGACAACAAATCTGTGAATTTGGAGAGTATGTTCAAAGTTAAGTTTTTCAAAGGTCCTTAATTTTTTTCAAAAAAGATTAAAATATTGATCAATTTTAGACTTTCAGAATATAACTTGTGAGATAAAATTTATAGGGTAATTAATCCCTAGCAGAATGAGAATACAGTGCTTAACTTCCAAAGTACACAGAGAAAAAATGAAGATAAAGATAAAAGTAATTAAGATAAAAACAACAGAAAGGTGTACAAGTGGACCCAGCAAATAAGATGGCAAACTGAAATATATTGATAATTATCATAAATAGAGATAAATGATTCTGTTAAAAGCAAAGCTTACAAAACTGGATTGAAACAATTCTAACAATAAATCAATTATATGGTGTTTACATGAGACTCACTAGAACACAAGGATATATAGTAAAGCTGAAAGTAAAAGGTTAGAAAAGAGACCTATCAGATAACTACGAGTTAGAATAAAGCCTATATACCTATATCAATATGAGACAAACTGAATTTTAAGGAAAAGCCATCTATAAAAAGGCATTATAGAATGTGAAGAGATCCTGTTTCCTAGGAATAGTTCAAATTCACATGTATCTAAAAATTTGATCTCAAATATATAGAGCAAGAATTGAAAGAAGCACAAGGACAGAGTAATCCACCAAGACAGTGGAAGAGTCTAGCATACCTTCCATAATGATACATAAATCAAGCAGACAGATATCAATAACGTTACAGAAGATTTTAACACAGTTGGCAAGCTATATCTATATAAAGAAAATTGTTCTTAACACCTATGCAAATATACTTTCTCTTCAAGCAGACAGGAAACTTGGACAAAAAGCAACCACATATTGGGAATACAAATCAAAGCTTAACAAATTTTAAAGGACAGATAACATATCAGTCATTCTCTAATTATGACATAATCAGAGGCCAAGGATACTCTTCCTACTCCAAAATATGTGTTTAAAAATTAAGCACAATTCTAAATGAGCAATGAACCAAATGAAGAGATGAAAGCCCAGTAAAATCATGAAAAGAAACAAGTTAAATGTCTTAGCAGAGCTATCTTTCTTTTTTGCAATAAAATTTTTGACATCAAAATTGACCCAATAAAGAGAATCAAAGAATTTCTTTGCCAGGAAGATAGAAAAAGAGTGCCTATGTCACATACTTCTATTTACATCATGATACTAAAACCCAAACCTCACTGCCTGAATTTTAAGAGACATTCATAGTCTGGTCCCACCTAATGTGACCACCTGCAGCCAGAGCTGCAATGCCCAGCACATACACAGAAGCCTGATGAGGTCCAGCTCTGCTCTACAACAGCCAGTCAGTGACTCCAGTCAACCTAGAGTCCTTCTGCTCTGCCATTCTCCTTCATGAATGTCTAACGCACTCTCCAATGCCCATGTGAACTTTTAGCTTCTGTTATGAAGACCTATCAGCTATTTCTAAGCCTAACTGGTACACTGTATTCCAATTTGATATTGTTTTCTGGCATTAGTCAATTTGTTCTACTTACCCACTCAAATCTGGGCAGGCACATGCTTACCACTGCCTCATCCTATTGCCATGAATTCTACATAGTGATAAATACACAGAAGGCGCTCAACCAACAGTTACTGAATGCCCTTTTTTTAAAAAAAAATATTTATTTATTTATTTTAAAGAGTTACACACAGAGAGAAGGAGAGTCAGAGAGAGAGAGGGAGGTCATCCATCTGTTGGTTCACTCCCCAATTGGCTGCAATGTCTGGAGCTGCACCGATCTGAAGCCAGGAGCCAGGAGCTTCCTCCAGGTCTTCCCATGTGGGGTGCAGGGGCCCAAGGACTTGGGCCATTCTCTAATGTTTTCCCAGGCCATATCAGAGAGCTGGATCAGAAGTGGAGCAGCTGGGACTTGAACCAGCACCCATATGGGATGCCAGCACTGCAGGCAATGCCTTTACCCGCTACGCCACAGTATCGGCCCCTTGAATGCCTCTTAACAAAGTAAATGCACATGAGATTTTACCATTGAATACTTATAAACTGTCATACACATACACATACAATATTCTGTTTAAATATTCCACCTTCTTCAAGAGACAGGAAAATATTTTTCAATCCATCCAATTCCATCCAGTGAAGAAACATGATAAACAAAAGTGGATTTTTGTTTTCCAGGAATATTCTCATGCACAAGGTCACAAAGGCTGAATGAAAAGATAACACATTGAGCTGTTTAGAAATAGATTCCTCGTTCCTGATATAAGCAGTTGAATTTTATTGTTCTTCATTTCCTGTTGTAGTTTTTGGTGAGTGTACATGCAGCATGCATGTGTACATATGAAGTGTGAGTGTGTGTGTGTGTGTGTGTACACACACACACGCTTATAATTTGGACAAGAAAGGAGAGAGGAGCAAAGGAAAAAGGTGAAAGTCATACATCTTTCTACAAGGTTTCAGCAAATAATAGTCAGAGATAGCAAATAGACAGGTAAATGTTATCAACCAAAAGTCAGTCAGCACTACTCATAAGTTAAGTGAGATGCAAAGTGCTTTTACAGTTTGAATCTACTTGTACATTAAAAAAGGGAATAAAGAAATGCCAAATTAATTTATGAACATGTTAAATATTAAATCTTTGCATTCAACAAAAATTATTACTTTTGGCCAAATAAAGGACAAGACGATGAAACATAACTGGGTTAGTCACTAGATAATCACAGGATTTACCTAAAATTAATTAATAGCATACACTTACTGCTATAGTCTAGTAAGCAGACAAATTAGCAATCAAGATAAACTTGGTATTCTGTCAATATTATCAGAGTACATCAGTATTTGGAGATAAATATCAGAGTCCTAGTGAGAAATCACTGGGAATAAAAATTAAACCCTTAACCAAATGGCTCACCAGGCTTCTAGTGTAAATGGACAGGTTCTTCTGGCAGCAGTGGACAAAAGCCATTCATGGTAACTGAGATGTTTCTGTGTGCCTCAAAACTCAGATGAGCAGTTTTCATTAGAATTGATTATGCTTAAAAAGGAATCAACACTACTTTATACTACATTTTTCCAAGAAGTCACGATGAGCCCAGAGCTCACCACTGAGAAGAAACTCCACTCTTGCAGCTTTAACTCCCTAAGTCTGCAGGCTGTCAGAGCAGTATTATGACATAACTTCCCCCATTTGTGTGGTTAAATAGCTACCCAAAGATGAAATTTCCTTAGTAAGTAATATTTAGGGTCAAGGGAAGTAAAGAAACTTGAATACATGGAAGCAAGAATAGTTTTGGGCTCAGGTCTTATCAATATTTAGATGATTTAAAAGTCCAAGAGCCAAAACCTATCACCATAAATAGCATTCCACACACATTTGCCTCAAAGACTGTGAAATAAATGGCATGAAATGAACCAAAAGCTAACAGTCAGTTGCATGACAGTTTGTATATGCTCATCTCCTTCTCTTGCTGGACTCAAAGTACTTCTTTTCATTCATTTCCTCAGTCATCAGGTTTGTAGAAAGGCCCACTCTGTGCAGTGTGTTGTGTAGGTCCTCATATAGAATCCTATCAAATAGGAAGATTTGAGACATAAGAGGTAGAGGGAGGGGTAGAGTCACTGGCATATAGTAAATCCTCAATAAATGACTGCAATTCCTTTCTCTTACCATAAACCTTCTTTAAAGAAGTATTACATGGATTTGAGCTGTGAAATTCAAATCAATGCAATTTTTAAAATATATTTGTGAAACCTGTAAGTCTGTGTTATAAAAAAAAAACCTTTTGGTGTGTGTTACAAAAAAACTACTTACAGATTCAGAAGTTGGCAATAAGTGAAAATAGTTGAAAACATATGGTAGGGTTGAGTGACCCTTTCTACATAATTTCTGATAATACCCTAAATAACAAGAAGGAGAGAAGTTGAGAGAAAGAGGGGAGAAACACTCAAAGAGAAGAAACCATATGAAGCACAAAGAGTCGAAAAAGCACGCTTCCTGGACAGAGCTTTTCCATTTGCACATCTCTTAACAAGTTACTGCATAGTCTGCATCTCACTTGCAAAAAAATGTAAGAGAGTTGTTGACTAGATGATCTCCAAAATTTATTCTCAGTCCATCATACTCTAGTACAAGAAAACTAGCTGGCAGATAAGAGAGGCAGAAAGCTCTAAGGCTCCATGCTAGTACCATTTGTTGCCTCAGTCTAAATCTTACTACAAGACACTGAGTGTGATTTCTACCAGAAATTTCTGGAGTCAGCTTACAGAACAACTCCAGGTCACTATCTACTCACTCTGTGATCCTGAACAACTTACTTAACCCCACTGTTTCTCAGTTATATACCCCAGAGTCATTATGTACACCAAAGTTAATACTATATATAAAGCACAATATGCCTGAAATCCATTGAGCATTCAATGTGTCATTTATTAATTTCTTTTGCTATTATAACAAAGATGTAATATAAATGAAAGCAGTATAGAGGTGATTATCCCAGATTATCATAAATGTACAAGATGAATACATAGGTGTGTGGTTTGCTCATTTGAAGGCTGGTTTTCAGTAAGCTCAATTACTCAACAATACGATGTTTCTAAAATGGTAGGAAAATCTACGTTTACACAAATAAACATAGATTCATGAGTATACAAGTACACACATACACAGTGCCTATAAAGGGGGACAATAATTATAATCACAAAATAACTGACTCATTCTTAGCATCAAATTTTGAACAGAGGGTATATGAAAGGATTCAAGTTATATCAAACAGAAGCAGCTCAAGATCCAGGAAGAACTATTTTCAAATATTCAAAAGGATGCCATGTTAAAGCAACATTAATCTGGTCCAGTGCCATGGCACACTAGGTTAATCCTCCGCCTGTGGCGCCGGCATCCTATATGGGTGCCAGGTTCTAGTCCGGTTGCTCCTCTTCCAATCCAGCTCTCTGCTGTGAACTGGGAAGGCAGTGGAGGATGGCCCAAGTGCTTGGGCCCCTGCACTGGCATGGGAGACCAGGAGGAGGCACCTGGCTCCTGGCTTCAGATCAGCGCAGCGCACCGGCCATTGCAGCCATTTAGGGAGTGAATCAACGGAAGGAAGACCTTTCTCTCTGTCTCTCTCACTGTCTATAACTCTACCTTTCAAATAAATAAATAATCTTAAAAAAAAAAAAAAATGAATCCATGGAAAGACAAGGACAATCTGTGGATATTGGGGCCGGTGCCTTGGCTCACTTGGCTAATCCTCGGCCTGCGGCGCTGGCATCCCATATGGGCACCAGGTTCTAGTTCCAGCTGCTCCTCTTCCAGTCCAACTCTCTGCTGTGGCCCGGGAGGGCAGTGGAGGATTGGGCCCCTGCACCCCCATGGGAGACCAGGAGGAAGCACTTGGCTCCTGGCTTCGGATCGGCATAGCTCTAGCCGTAGTGGCTATTTGGGGGATGAACCAACGCAAGGAAGACCTTTCTCTGCCTCTCTCTCTCTCACTGTCTAACTCTGTCAAATAAAAAAATTTAAAAATAATTTAAAAAATCTGTGGATGTTAAAAGCCCCATTTTCAATTTGGAGTAGAATGGATTTTAGGAGGGTGATAAAAAAAAAATCACTGAAGCTTTTCAGCACTGACTAATGCTTACTTGACTGTGCATGGCCAATTCCCAGGCAAAATGCTAAAGTTTTCACTTGAGACAGAACTCAATCTAATGACTTCATTTCCAAATCTATATTTTATGCTGCAGACTGGATGTCTATTAACATGAATTATAACAGAATTTCTCATGTGCAGATTGACCAATTGGCAAGCATGCAAGGTAGTGGTGTTAAATGATAATACAGAAATTAATATTAAAATTCAGATCTCCCCATAAAGTTTTTGGCTAGAATTGCGAAAATGTGGCCAATTTTAATGGCTTGAGTTGATAACTAGCAATCAACAGATTGCCAAGTTAAAAGAAATAAAAGATTGCATTTATAATCCATGAAAGGATAAATGGGGCATTAAATCTTTCAAATAAGTAATGTACTTAGTATAACCTGGTTAAATGACTCTAATATTAATTAGAACTTCAGACTCCTTTTGATAACTGTAATCATATTGTTTCATTACACCATTTTTTCATTTTTCCCAAAGAAGCATGCAGATCCAGAAAGCATAGGGGCTGGGTCATCAATTTACTGTGTGACTGAGTCCCTTTACCTACATGAGCTTCAATTGTGTAATCTATTTAACAAGAGGGAACAGGAAGTGGCAATACATAAACTAGATATTTTGTAAGGCCTTTACATTCTAAAATGATTTTTATGAAAGGATCATCCCTTATAGTAATCTATTAGTGTATTTCTTCATTTTTAATTTGTTCATTCTTTTTCCTGGTGAAGGCATCTCCAGCCATGATATAGGGAAGTGTAGCACCTTAGTTTTACCACCTACCACTGACAGTTTCTATGAGATAGTTTTGTTATGTTTTTCTGGAGTCTTGAGGAAGTTGTTAATAAGGAAGAATGCATTTTACAATTAGAAACCACATTCATATCAAGAAATAGTCTATATAAGTAATGGGCAAAGCAGAGTTAGGGACAGAAAGGAAGATTATAAAGTATCTCCCTCATAAAAAATCATCTTAGAAAGAACCATTTTTTTAAGATTTATTTATTTATTTGAAAGGCAGAGTTACAGAGAAGCAGAGGAAGAAAGAGAAAGAGAGAAAGAGAGAAAGAGAGAGAGAGAGAGAGAGAGAGAGGTCTTCCATCCACTGGTTCACTCCCCAGATGGCCTCAACGGCCAGAGCTGTGCCGATCCAAAGCCAGGAGCCAGGAGCTTCTTCCAGGTCTCCCACACAGGTGCAGGGACCCAAGGATTTGGGTTATCTTCTACTGCTTCCCAGGACATAGCAGAGAGCTGGATCAGAAGTAGAGCAGCCAGGCCTCAAATTGGTACCCATATGGGATGCTGGCACTGCAGGCGGCAGCTTTATTCGCTATGGTACAGCGCTGGCCGCAGAAAGAACCATTTTACTCTTACTTTCTGGAGGCTTTATTTTCTCAGGCCTTTCAGTTCCTCTCAATGAGTTTATATGATTAAAAGTGTAGTCTTGTGAATTGGTATATCTGAGTGCCTAATGACAAAAGAAAATATATAAATTTGATTATTTAACCCATTTTACCCCTAGTTGGTTAACGACTCCAAAGACATCCTGAGCTATTCTAATTACTTCCAACTGACACTTTAAATTAGTAGGTCTATTTAACTCTGAAATCAAGTTCCTTATGGAAAAATTTGTCAGAGTAGTTACTTTAGAAAACGCACTACTTAAAAAACCTAAGAGTGGTACTGATTTTTTAACAGGGTTCCTTTAAAAAAAAAAGGACTGCACAAAGCATTGAGAACAATCTGTACTGGCAAGGGACAGGGGAGATGACCTAATAGATCTTTTCCGTCTCTAATTTCTATGATTCGAGGGTTTTTTACTCCTGCAGTAATACTTGTGAGTTCAACAATTTCTCAAAACTATTATTAGTTACCAAGGCAACACAAAATGTTTGCAGGAATAAATAAGCAAATGGACTGGACCTAAATAACAGGCTTTTCCTGCTTCCCACTTAATTGGTGGCGTCATATTATCAACTCTGTACTCTCTCCAAGTCATTCTGCTCACCTATTGGCAAACTTGCTCATGAGAGTCTCATGGCCAACTCACAGCTTTCCATGTAAATCAAGACAAGGAGATTTCTGGTCAACAGAAGGTTCCTTCACTTGGTGAAGAACAAAAACCATGGCATCGTTAGAGTATCCCATTCCCTATTATCACCACTGACACTGTTGCTGCAGTCATTCCAAGTTAGCTCTTGAGGGTATAGAATGCTGTTTTAGAATCAAAGTCAGCTGAAATATGACAAATAGTAGGAAGGTTCTAGAAAACTCAAGGATTACAGAGCCCAGGGACGGGAGATGTAGGCTGCAGATGAGAGGGTCAGAGCCAGCGCTGTGGTGGAGCAGGTAAAGCTGCTGCCTGCACTGTCAGCATCCCATATGGGCACCAATTTGAGTCCCTACTGCTCCACTCTGATCCAGCTCCCTGCTAATGCACCTGGGAAAGCAGTGGAAGATGGCCCAAGTCCTTGGGCCTCTGCACCTACACTGGAGACCTGGAAGAAGCTACTGGCTCCTGATAGGCCCAGCCCCAGTTGTTTTTGCCACTTGTGGAGTAAACCAGCAGATGGAAAACCTACCTCTCTCCTCTCCTCTCCTCTCTCTGAACTCTGCTTCTGCCTCTCTGTAGCTCTGCCTTTCAAATAAATAAATAAATCTTAAAAAAAGAGAGAGAGAGAGAAGATTTGTACATATATCCATGTTCACTGCAGTATGTATGTATATCCAGGTTCAAACTGTTAAATGCTGGTTAAAGGCTCTAAGTCTAAGTGCTATGCTGGCCAAGGAAGTGACAGATGTGACATATTTTGTGTGGGCATCTGCGTTATCACGGCCAGGCAGGTGGCACCTGGGGAATAGCAAGAAAAATGAAAGGAAGAGGTTGGCTAGAAAAATTATCATCCCAAGCACGTGAGGAGGTGCTTTCACTTGAGACTTCTTTGGTTCCGTGTTGTAGTTGCCTACATGTGGTGTCCTTTAATTTGTGACCTAAGTTGTAGAGCAACAGAGCAGGAGGGACCAGCACCAGACCCATAGCAGAGTTACCCAATGTATAAGGACAAGATTCTTTACAAGATAGCTGCTGGTAAAATTTTAGAAGGTACCATGGGGCAGAAGACATTAGAACCAAAGACTCTTGTTTCAGCCAATACAACTGCAGCCCATGGAGCTCTGTCTCTCCCAGTGCAAGCCTGAGTCTGGACTCACTCTGTTAAGCTTCTCACACAGAACTAAGGCCATGATAAGATTTGCTGCTTTTCCTTGTATATTACACCGTTTACTGTGCCCCCAGCTTACCTATAGAGGAAATGTTCCATGACCTTTCGTGGATGCCTGAACCTAAGGATAGTACCAAACCCTGAATGTACGGTGTTTTTCCCCATATATACATAACTATAACAGAGTTAAATTTTAAATTGGCCATAGTAAGAATTCAACAATAACTAATAATAAATTAATAACAAAATACTATAGCAAAATTTATTTAAAACTTACTAACCGCTTATTTCTGGAATTCTCCATTTAACATTCTCTGAAATCACAGATGAGGGGGGACCAGTGATTAGTGTCTGCACATATACTATCTCATAAAGGCAAAGGAGCAAATGTGCCCCATTCAAATGAGCTTGCAGCAGAGCTTGTAGGGGGCAGAGCACACCATTCTTTCACCAACAGAAGAAACAGCAATGAAAATGTAGACAGCTAAAGGAAGGTTCAGTTAGTTACAGCTTTCATGGTACTTATTTGGATGACTGAAAGGAGAAACAAAGGCATAGAGAGAGAACATGAAAGATAATAAGAGCAGTCATTTCACAAAGAGGAACTAGTTTGATGTGCTTAGCAGCACACTGAATTTTAAACACTAAATAATGATGACGTCATCACGGTCAGTAGTGAGTGATTTTATTAAAAACATTTTTTGCTGTGGTTATAATAACCTCCTCACATTAGCTTGAACCATGGGAAATCATTGATATTCAGCAGTTATTGGCTATATAAAAATTAACTTCATCCAGCTAAATCTAGTTGATCTCTCCTGGTATCCTGTCACCCAAAGACTCATCTCCCACATTAGAAAGTAGTTAGCTAGCCCTGAAGAAAAATTCCTTTGTAGCATTTCTAAATAGCAGTTTAAAGCCACTGCTGATTTGGATCGTAAATTCAGATTACTAACTGCAGAAAGGACCTTATTTGTAAGTAAGTTTATTTGTATAAAATTCCTGATTGTAAAATGAAAAGAGAGCCATACAGTAATTGGATAGAACTAGGCCAGGAAGTCAAATTTTCTCAGCCAATTTCGAGGCACAGTGATCATAACTCTGGTCATAGTAAATCTATGTCAGAAGCCAAGAGAACAAAAATTACATCGCAAAGAGAATTCTGGTAGGAAAAGGGAGGGAAATGAAACATGATTCATTAATTCACATGGCCAGTGGACCACAGTGCCAATGTCTGGCTGGAACTTCTAATACACAGCTCAGGGGTCTGTCAGATAGATAAAGGCTTCATTTTGCTCCAAACCCTTGACTTCCATCTGTTGGAAAACTGTCAAAATATTCTAATTTTATAAGAACAAGACATATCACTGCTACCTTCCAGAAAACTGGCTTAGTACATACATAGATCTAAAATGTCTCTAATGTGAATGAAAGCCCCTAGTGATTATTCAGTGCAAAATCAGGGTGATTCTGCCAATTTGTGGCCTATGAAGAGAACTGGAAAATAAAGACATACATTTCTCAATTAAATCAGAATACTCCCTTAACACCACCACCTCTGAGAGAATCTGAACAAATCAACAAAAGATAAGGTAAAGGCCGTATACAACACTGGTTTAAATCTTTGCATTATTAGTTCACTAGCTGTGCAACCCTGGCCAAGCTACTTCTTCCAAATAGGATTTTTCATCTGAAAAATATGGATGATACCACCTCAAAATATGAAGATTAAATGATGCATGTAGAGCACTAAGCCCAGTGACTGGCATGAGCTGAAAGCTCAGTAAACGAACATTATTATTGGTTACTGAAGAGACTGGTCACATATCATGGCCCAGTTGGAAGGCTGAGTCATATCCAGGTGGCAGGCCACTGCTACTTCAGGGATTAACAGCACTAAGAGAGGCGGTCAAGGAGCAGGGGGTCTTAGTCCTTTTTTTTTTTTTTTTTTTATCTTGCTTCAAGTTCCTTAGACAATTTTTCGCTCTACTCAAGTTCTTTAACTTTCAGAATAGAGCTAAAGAAAGGAGGAAATAAAACTAACATATTTAAAAGAGGAACAAACATATTTCAAGGGGAACTGGGAAGTTAAAAGATTGGAAATAAATGCAAAGCGCTGAGTACAAAAACATGAGAAAAAACTAAATGGTACTGTTAAATGTTAGGACATTTCTTTGCCCATCAAAGGGAAAATGTCAAAACAAGCTACAAAAATGCTAGCTTTGGAGTAAAGGGACATTTTGTTATCAGGCTGGGGCTGAGATCCAGGTGTTCATGATTCATGCAAACTTCCTAACAGTGATTTCATCTCATTTTTAATTTTTACAAGTCTCAATAGGATGCTTAATAAGTACACGCAAGTATGTGAAACAAAAAAGATTACAATGCACTTCATAAAATTTCAGTGAAAGTAACATATCATCTACAATGCTAACATAAAAGTATAAAGCCAGTATTACAATGTAAGTTACACTTATGGATATGGTCATTTACTTATTTTAAAACAGTATAGAGGAAAACAGGAGTGGGTTTAATACAGGCTTCTCATTTGTCGAGTGATCTGGTCATAGCAGAGTGGCCCAGAAGAACTGATAACTAAGCACCCAGTTTCACAAAGGGGATACACATTTCTTTGTGTGTTCTGCATCTTTATTCCACACCATTTGCACAACTATACAACACTGCAACCATCTCTTTCTTTCTCCACCCCACACTAAGAAAAAGCAGCAGACTATTTTCATTAATTTCTTTTTTGACAAAACATATGGAAAAAATAATGCTACAGACATATGTACATCATAATAGGAAGCAATCCTATTTTAATGTAATTTAAAAGGGGGGGTTAAAAACTGAAGCTACTAAAAGTGCTCATCTGAAGCTGGCAAATAATACTTCCACGTCCCTAATTTATCTAGCAGATTCATATAGTTGGGCTAAGACTTTAAAGGTTACTTTTCTTACTGATGTTCAAGATAATTAGGAGGTTAATTCTTAGGATTCAGACCAAGTCAATCTGCCCCATACCAGAGGACAACAGACTTAATTCAATCATACTTGGCGACTTTCTTTTTTTCTCCTCATGTCTTGTATTTTGTTTGATGGTAGAAGAGAGTAAATAAATTAAAATTAGTTCTGAAGTTCTATTTTTATATTTCGCCTTGAAAGTACAGAACAAAACATTTAATTTCTTTAAAAATACTTTCCCTGCCAAATAATCTGGTTAGTTTTAACCGCTTTCATTAAAACACAGGCATGCAGAAATGGGGAGTGAGGAGGTTCTTTGAGTAAAAACACTGAAAAAATAAGATTTCATCTGGCCTTCCCATCATCACTTGAAGAATTGTTTGGTAGTTACATCATCAGGAAATAAAATACTATCCTCTAAGGACCCCAACCCTTTACAAAGAGAAAGAGAAGGTTTGAAGTCTAAAATCACCCTCCGGAGATGTCCAAAAAAAACGATCTCTCATTTCCCTCTCCCGCCTCCCCCCAAGCAACCAAATACAAATGTAACAAAAATGTATTTACAGAAGTTTACGTTAGAGTAACAGGATACGTATTTATTTAACATCCCGAAGCAGTAACAGAAGCGTTAGAGATCCAGAGAGAGAAAAGTTACTATCGGTGCCACCATGACCCCAAAGTCTTGCTTAACCCTGCAGGAGGGCGCTGGTGTCCCAGGGCTACTGCCCATTCCCTGCCTGGGGATCTGGGGAGAGATTGTCGGTTCACATCGCAGGGATGGGAGCGGGGCGCTGAGCTGCGCACTGCCGCCACCGCCGAGGGTCTGGCTGTCACCGGTGCCCCCGCCGCCCGCGCCGCACACGCGGAGCGCCTTATAAGGCAGCGCAGTGACGTAACGTCCATAGGCCGGGCGCGCTCGGCGCCCCGCTCGCATTGTTCGGGCGACTCCTGGAGCGCACACAGCTCGCTCCCAGCGCAGCGACAGCGGCCCCGGCCCGCCCCGCCCGGCCCCGGCGCAGGCAGCTCAGGTAAGCCCGGGAGAGCCGCTGCGCTCCGCCAAGGGGCCTTGCTGTCACAGCCAGGGAGAGTGTCCGCAGGTCGTTTTTAAAGTTGCCTCAGCATCACGAATTGCAGACAGGTTTCGCACAGCCCATCCAATGAGTCTAAGTTCAAGACCTTTTCCAGCTCACACAAAACTTGAAAGTAAAAGTTTTCTCTGGCGGGGAAGACAGCTTTGGGATTTAATTTCTGGGAGGTGAGGGCTGTATAGTACACGGGCTTTCCAAGTGAGCTGCACACCGAGTCCTGCCTGTAGGAAGCAATCTTTGGAAAAAGGGTGGGGAAATTACCCAGCAGGGGAACAGCTCTACTTCCTGATCCTACCTCTCTTCGGGACTTTAGCTCGCTTAGTTCTCACAAGAGCAGAGTGCGAAACACTGCCACAGCACAGGTCATTTCTTAGTGTTGGTTTTTGTTTTTCCGTCCCGTAAATCTTAATATAAAAGATTCTGAAAACACTGTTCTGAATAGTTATGAACTTAGGATAAGTTTAACCAAACAAATCTTTTTAAGCTTCAAAAAAAATCTTAAAAAATGCTATTCTCTTAAAAGCAGATGTCAATCTGTACAGGGGAGTAACTCATAATTTTGAGTTCTAACTTTCTACTTTAACTGCATGCAGGGGATAAATGACAAGTCATACTTAAAGCTGTCCTCTGTTTTGCATAATAATGCTTTATGTACAATATGGTAATTTAGAAGTGAAGCCTAAGAAATACCTTAATAAAATTATCAGTGGCATTTTGAACCATAATTAGTTACATCTAAACTCTTAACAGGCTATTGTTGTAAATGAACTCTTACAGTATATCTGTACACTTGGCAGATATTGAAAACCTACATAATATTTTACTTTTCAAAATAAAAAGCAACATAGGAATTAAACTAAAACTTACTGTGTCAAGTTTAGAACACTGGAATCAGAGATGAAAAAAACGATTTCTCATTCAAACTTTATGTGGTCTGAACATATACTTTAAAACAAAATTTAAGAGCTGTGACAGAATTACTTCCCTTAATTCATACACTGTCATTTATACTGATTTGCTCTAAAAGATTGAAATGTGCTTAATATTGCTGGCCCTGGAAAAACCATGTAAGATAACAGTTTGGATATGTAGAAAAATTTAATAGTACTATAACCATCTGAATCATGTGTATGTTACAAATTCATTTAATTTATATTTCTCAATGAGAGTTTAAAAAAGTCAGATATGAGATTTATCATTTGAAACACTGCATTTAAAAAAAAAGTGCTCAAAATTTGTAATGTATCTATGTATTTTAAGTAATTCCAAAGCTGAGTTTTCAAAAATATTTGACAATGGTGCCTACCTCTTTGTTTCATAGGAGTTTTTTTGTTTTGTTTTTGCATATTTTATTTGGAACAATACAGGACTTTGGTTTTTATATTACAAAAGAAAAATTATGTATTAGTTGGACTGAGGATAGGCTACCCAAACTGCAGGTTAGTACTGAGAAACAGAATTTCCCCAAAACAATTATTTCAAACCTAGGGAAGCCTACCATAATGAAAAGAGAGGGACCAACACCCAGGTCACTGTGGACAAGTATGGAACATGCAATAGAAGAGCTGTTTATTTGATACAAGCTGTAATTGGAACTGAAAAATTCCTCTTTGGGACAAAGGTATTTTGCTCTTTTGAATCTAACAGAGGAAGAGAGAAATAGAAACCATCAATTATTGTTTCAACTATACCCAAAGTACCATCTGCACCATAAACTATAACTCAACTGTTGAAAATCATAACCTCTATTAAAGCTCTTAACAGCTATGTCTGCAAGAGTGTGTCTTTTATTTTTTTAAAGCAGGCAAACATCAATTTTTAAAATTTTTATATAACACACTTTAATAGTTATACTTTTTTCCATTATTAACTTTAAAGCATGGTCCAAAAAATGACCACGTGGTAAGAGCTCTTTTAAAACTGAAAGTTAAACATGATTATCCTGAGTACATTATCTCACAGTGGGCTCTCTCAGTGAGCATTTCTTAGTCAGTATGATGGAAAAAAATGCTTATCATAGAAAGAACATTAATTTTTACATTTCCAAACAAAGCACACAGATAATTTTATGCTTAGTAAGTTCATTTGCTCCTTTTTGGTGATTAGCCTTAACTGTTCAGCATGGGTGTATCTGAGTGTTATTTTCCTAATGCTGTGATGAAGTCTACAGTGAAAGCACAGATCAAGCTTTGACTCTAGTCTTCTTGCAGCTCATTAATTTACCTTTTCAAAAGCTGTAAATTTTGTTTTAGGATTCTCTGTTGCTCCTTCCCTTCCTAAAAAGTACATCTGATAATAAGTGAATTTTAAAAATAAAAATGGAAAAGGAAGAATAAAAATTCCAATAATACTTTTAAGTTTATGTGCTGTTCATATCATGTGCTTCAGGGCAGAGTGAATATTTTACAAAGTGAATAAAAAATACAGATCCTCTTATTTAAAGGAAAAGGGGGCAGCAAGAAGAGAACTTTTATAAAAGACTGGATATTGTGGAGTAATAATCAGAGGATGGAAAGCAGTGAGTTTCAACCTACTTCAGAAACTGAAATGCCCTGTTATTCACATAGCACCCAAATACATCCTTACCTCTTTTTTGGGGCATATCATTAATTTTAAATTATTTTGAGAGTTTACTTAATTTGTACTTGACTGTGAATTTAGCTTCAATTTAAACTGATTGTTTTATTTCTGTAAATTATGCTTATATAAGGATTTATGGATTTAAACATGAAGAGACACTGCATATGTAGCCAGCATCTTAAACTTTCAAAACAGTATATCAATGACTGCTGCTGCCAATCCTGTAGCCTGAGCCTGAGCCTCCTACTCAATTGCTTATGCTTCATGTGTGCTGCAAGGACTTTTAGAAACTCCTCTGGTCATTTTCTACTTTTAAGTGAAATGGAACATCCGTGTCTTGAATCCCTAATTCTTTGTGGATCATCAACACTGTTATAAGCCCATCCATAGCCTTCTTCTTCTTCTTATTATTATTATTTAAGAAAAACAGAGATGAGATCCTCTCTTCTTGACCTCTATCTGCCCTAACATTGCCTCTGGCTGGGAAAGCTGGGCAAACAAAGATGGGAAGGTTGGCCAAGGAAAGTCCCTTGGTTCTTTTTCAGATATGAGAGAAACACTCCCTCTTCAAGCTTGTTCTCTCAGATGCTCTAGCAGATTAAGCTAGGACAGCAGCAGTTTGAATTCTGAGCTGAAGAACAGGGAAGTTCACCTTGGCAGGGTACTTTCTCCAAACTGACCAATCTTACACTCCTATTCTCTACTGGCTCCCAAATCTATTAATTTTTAAAGATACAATTATTATTTTTCAACAAGAAATTTGAGGAATGGTGTGTTTGTTGAGGGTAGTAGTAAGGGCTGGCAAAGAACAGACAGGTAAGTGTATCACTGGAATAGATTGGGGTATAAATAGGCATATAAAACCTTGTTTCTGTTTATGATAACTACTGATTTTAGTCTAAAGGACAATTATAATCAGAAAAAAAACCACATATTACACCAGAATAGCACATATTCGACTTTACAGATATGAGTTTGAGACATACATTGGTAAGTTTTACTATAATGGAATGTCCCGGGCCCCAGAGAGTACGTGTGTACAAACAAGGATATGGAATTAAAAGACAAGTCTATTCTCATATGAAAAATTCCAAAATCAGTGCATATATGAGTCTTCCAAAAGTTCATGGAAAATGTGTATTATGAAAAAACAATGCATGGATTAAAAATTTTTGTTTGCAAAGACTGTTAACTCCAGTTTTTTCAAGAACTTTTTCAAGTGTACACACATACACACATATGCACACACACACACACGACATGGAATTTCCACAGAGCTTCAAAGCTGAAAGAGGCTGTGGAAGTCATCTGATCCCAATGCCTCACTTTACAGAAGAACTAATTAGTGTTTATGCTATAACTTTCCCTGAAAACACAAGGCAAGAGACACTGAAAGCTACTCAGAGGGGAGTCCGGGACCCCTGCATCCTTGGGCTGCATCACTCTATTGGTTTTCCCTTTAATTAATAATAGGAAGAAAGGGGAATTGTAGCTCCCAAAGAAGCCCATTAAAAAAAAAAAAAAAGTAGAAAGGTTCAAAGTTCTTGTTAGTATAAGCAGGGAGAGGGAAGAGGAAAGGGGCAGGTGAAAATCAATACAGTTCAATCAGGCTGCAACTATGAAAAAGGAACTAATGGGAGGACAAGAAAAACATAAATGTACTTAAAAGTCCGATGCATGGCAAGCCCACTATCTCCTTGAAAGGTAAGAGGTGCCCTAGAAAAAGTTTGTGCTCTGTGACCAAAGCTGTTTAGGTCTGAATTACTGACTTGAAAAACTGCACTCCCTAGACCTTCCCAACTGTTAGGCTTCCTTTCAAAACTCAAAGTGACTCAATGCCTTCAAAACAACCTCCCTGAAAAAATGCAGAAGTCACCTTGCTGTCAGATTGTAAACCCTTGGTGATACCTTGTTTTGCTTTCCTTCACACCACTGATTGCAAGGACATGACATTAAATTACACATTAACTACTTGCTTTTTGTCTGTCTCCTGGATTATAAACTCTTTCAGGATCCATTTTGCACCAGCTTTATCCCCAACACTTAGGAAAGTACCCAATTAGTAGGTGTGTCACTGGGACAATAAGGGTGTTGGATAAATCTGGAAAAAAAATCAGTTATAACCTAGAAGCTTCTTATTTGGTAAGAAAAGTGTTTCTGGATACAGTGGGCTAGGG